GGAGATGGCCCTAGGTTCTGATCTAGCTGGCCTGAGTTCAAGAGGGGTGGAGACATCACAGGTTATGAAAACCCTGAGGTGCTTCTGTGTACATCTGGGCTAATAAGCATGGCTGCCCTGGACAAAGATGTGGGACCTTCCTCCCGCTGTACCAACGTGAGTTACGAGGAGATGAGCTACCCCACAGCTGGCCCTCTTGGGAGGTCTCTGTCGATGCTTTCCAGGGAGTGGGTCTCTGGCTTCGAACTCTTCCAACTTGGGTTTGCATACAAACCATCTGAAGAGCTGCTCAAAATGACAAATTCGTTGCACCCCAAACCAAGCAGCCCTCATCTGAAACACATCCCAGGAGCTCAGGCACTGAGCAAGCCAGGAGCTGTGGCAATGGGGCTGTGCCTTCTGCTTAGGACTCATCCCTGACCACCTGTCCTCAAGACTGTGCTTTCTGTGTGTTTCGGAGCTCAGCATCACCTTACCATGCTCTGTGAGTATCTGGGCTGACATGTCTTCACTTATTTATTCGTCCAATCACAGCTATAATGGGCCATATAAAAAGCCAGAAGATCCAAACAGAGACACTTGAAATGCCCCATTGTGTCCTTACCAACCAACCTCAGTAGCAAGGACAGAGTCTGTGGCAGGAACAGAGCTTTCCTACAGGCCTGGGAAGGACCCACAAGGCTCAGAGTGGGAGAGGGCAAGGAAAACGATGTGCTGATGACAGCCGCAGTGACTCTCAAAGAAGGCTTGGAGTGGAAGCAGCGAGGGAAAGGCCAGTTGCTCAACTGCCTGGATTTTCCATCACAGCCCAGCAAGCGGGAAGGGTCAGGCGGGGAGTGTCTCCTCAAGCAGGTCCTTGTAAAGCCTCTTGGCCTGACTGGTTTCCTTTGGGCAGCCAAGAAGCAGTGCTGGGTGAAGTTAACCCCTGCATTCCCAATGTGATTGTCTAGAGATGGGCAGGATTCAGAGCCCGCGCTCCTGGAAGGCAGAGCTGCCCAGGGCAAGTGGCCTAAGGAGCCGTGAACTCTGGCTAGAGAAGCCTTCCCTCTGGCCTTGTTAAATCCAACAGTCATAATTGCATCCTGCTGACCTTAATTCCCCTGGCAGGTTTAATTGGGCCTGGCACTGTCCCACTTTCTGCCTTGGCCCCACAGAGGCAAAGGGCGTATGCGCAGCTGGCACGGGGCGGGGAAACCCCTTCATGAGTTAGGTGGGTAGGGGTTCTGGCAGCCTCTTGCAGGGTTGAGGAGGTTTCCCTGTGCCCCTCCCCCATGCCTCCAAGAGAGTGCTGAGAAGCCTGGGAACTCCCTTCGAGCAGCTGACAAGACCAGGTCACCCCACACAGACCAGATCCACGCCAGCCTCCCATCCAGCTGAAGGAACGTTTGGTTGAGAGGGCAAGGTAGCTGAGTTGTCTATCTGTGGCGGCCACCACATCACTAGGTCCCAGGCCCTTTTGCTCTGTACCAGGTGCTCGACATACACAGCCTGGGTACAAATTCTCAGCCACGTTGGGTGCCCGAGGGTCTCTAAACACTAATGAGCTTCCTTCTGGGAACAGGTGGAGGCAGTAGAGGAGGAGACTACCAAGGCACATGTCACCCTCATAGCTGGTAGTCTCCAACCCCACTGCAGTGCTCCTGACCCCTATCCCATAAGGCTGCTTCAAGATTAAAGGCAGGATGTTCCTGGGAATGGGGAGGCACACCCATCAGAAAGCATTGCTCCGGAGAAGGTCAGCTGGGAGGCAGCTGGTCTCCTGGTAGGCACTGGACAGTGCTGGTCCCACAAGCGTGAGGGCTTGAGTTCCATCCTGGGCACTCATGTAAAACCTGGGTGTGACAGCATGTACAATCCCAGCACTAGAAAGGCAAAGAGTAGAGCCTGGGGGTTCCTTGGCTAGTCAGCCCAGCTGAATTGGTGTGTTCTAGGTTCAGTGATAGACCCTGTCTAGTTTGCTTTCTATGGCTGTTATAAAACATCATAACCAAAAGCATCTTGAGGAGAAAAAGGATTTATTTTGGTCTACAGTTTACATATAGTCCACCCTGAATGGAAAGCAGGGAAGAAGCCAAGACAGGAGCCTGGAGGCAGAAAGGGAAGCTGAGGCCATAGAGGGATGCTGGTTACTGGCTTGCTCCTCCAGACTTGCTCAGCCAGCTTTCTTGTACAAGACAGGACTACTTGCCCAGGTATGGCACCGCTGCAGTGGGCTTCCAGACCAATCACCAATCAAGAAAATGCCTTCTAAGAGACTTGCCTGTAGGCTAATCTCATGGAGGCATTTTCTCAACAGAGGTTCCCTCTTCTAAGATGACCCTGGCTTTCAGGGTTGACAAAAGACAGACAAAACTCACACAGATAGGGTAGAGCAACTGAAGAAGACACCCTGACGTCAACCTCTGCCCCCACTACCCTCAACGCTCCTCAAGCGACTGGCCAGCACTGGTGAGAGGTGCTGTTAGTTGTTTTCACGTGGGAGCACTCACAAGAGCAGCAGATTAGAACGAAGCCTGTTGTGGCGGGAAGTGGCTCTGAGTTTGAATATGACCATTCTGAAGCTGCTCACCAGGCGGAGGAGCTTTGGAGAAAGCCATTTATGCCCACTTCCCTCCCCCACTCACCCAGAATCAGTCTTTGCATCTTTAACATGTGAAACCCTTGCTCTAGGGTCTTCTGTGTGGGTCCTGGGAGCTGGGGTAAAGAAAACTCTTAGCATCATAAGTCCTGGCCCTCAGTGGGCCCTCACCCAGCACCCTGACAGGTGACGTATTGATAGCCACAGAGCCATCAAGGGCCACCATAGCAAAGCAATGCAGACCCCCAGCCAGCCTTGCTGGTCAGTCACTTGGCTAATATGGTAGGCACATGGTGCCGGGGATACATGAAAGGACCATGTAGCTCTGTCTAGGCTGTGAGCGCACCATGGGAGCAGTCTGGGGCACCGAGGAGCTTTGGTGGAGGTGGGGGGAGATATCCACCATTTTAAGGTAAGCCAAACTATGCTGGGAAGATATATCCAAATATCCAGGGCTAGGAGTGTCCCTATCACAGGTAAGGACAAAAGACATTTCACGTTTCTGAATGCCTTGGGAGGTCTACACGGCAGAAGGGAGGAAGTGTATGAAGCATTCTGCTAACCTATATCTCTAGCTTCTCTGTTGAGGGCTGTAGACAACTCACTCATTCCTTTAGTTCTCCTCACCTTCATCCAGAAAAACAGGGTAAGTGTGGCCCACAGTTACCACAAATGACAACATGTAAGACGTTAGAAAACGCCAGGAGGAGGTGCTTGGTGGGACTCTTTCTTACCTTAGGTGAGGTTAGGGTCATGCGCAGCCCAGCCCAGCCCCTCCTGGGCAAGTGCTACACAGACATTGCTTGTTTTTGCTTCTGGGAAGAGGCATGTTGTCTGCTGAACCCTGAAGAAGAGAAGCAGTGAACAGGACCACCCCAGAGAGGGGACTGAGCCAGCACAGATGAGGGAGGAGGATAGTTTCTGTTAGCTTGTGTCAAGCGCCTTCCATATTTGCCTGCTTTCGAAGAAACCATGCATTTTAAAATCCAATGCATTCTCACAGCTCAAGGAATACAGTAAAAGGCCTCAAGATGTGAGAGACCCATGTTTGTCATCTCAGGGCTCTGGCACCCGATGTGGGAGGATGGAGAGCCTAGGCTACCCTGGATTAGGCTAACCCTCTCTAAAAAACAAATATGAAATTAAAACAAAATAAGGACAAGAAGCCTTGATGCCTCCCTTCCAGGAAAGTTATGCATTTCTTGTTCTCCTGCCAAAGAAGTTTGCACAGGTTACAGACATGCTGTGCTATTTTGCACCTGATTTTTTTTCCCCTTTGGAGGGCACTTCATAGTAGTCCCTTAGCAGCTTCCTGATCCACATTTCCCCCACTTCAGAGGTACTGCGTTCCTGCCAGCCTCCATCCTTCCTCTGCAGGGCAGTGACCACAGTGGTGAACAACTGGAAGGTTTACCTCAGTTGGGATCTGAACCCGGACAGCTACCGCATTACCAACACTCAGCCTTGGTCAGTGCTCAGGGCTCCTCTCAGAAAAGTGTGGGCTGACAGCCTCTGGGCAGTGGGGAGGACCCTACAGTATGGTCCTCCCTACCCCATCTCAACCTGAACACTTCGAGCTCGGGTCCCCATCCCTGAAGAGACGTCCCATCAACCTTTTCCTGAGGAGGACCTTCTTGTATTTCCATTGGCCTCCCTCCACTACTCAACCAAGTCTCCATGGTCACAAAGAATCCAAGAAAAGGAAGTTTTTCCCAGGGAAAAAATTGGGCAACAAAGCAACTGACCCTGGCATGATTTCTTACCCAGAGATGGTCTGAGTAGATCCGGATACCAGGGAGCACAAGGCTGGCCACTGGGGTCATGGCAGCTCTCTCCAAGCTCCTGGGAACCCCAAGAGGTGTGGCAGAGAGTGGGCAGAGCCATGCCTGGTCCTGGGCATGGTCTTCCCTTCAGCCCTGCCCAAAGGCCCTCTTCTTGAAGCCCCTTCCCTTATCCTGGCCACAGGCTGCTCCCCAGGGCCCAGATGCCCCCTCCCTTTTTCTTCTAATGGTTCCAATGCCATTCTACCCCATGTCAGGCCGTGGGAAGAATGCTGTGTCCTCTGAACGGGGGCCAAGAGTGACAGGTGGTGGCAACCCGCACTGCATGGCCCCTGCTGTCAAAGGGCCTCCTCGTAGTCTCCGCCTCCACTGCCCACGCCCCTGCCTCCGCCTCTGCCCACCGGGCCCAGTCCCCTTACAACCACCCCAGGATTGCGCCTGAGAAGCCGCTGCTGCAGACTGCTGGCCACCAGGTTGCCCCTCTCTCTCCAGGTACGCCTCTCCCCTCAGTGGCTGTCAGTGGCCTTCCCTCGCCACAGCTGGAAAAGAGGGGGCATCTGACAACGGGATCCACCTCGCTCCTCTTTCTGCAGCCAGAAAGACTTGAGTTAGACAAGCAGAAGTATACGCCTACCTACCTCATGGCTACAGAAAATGGAGCAGTTGAGCTGGGAGTCCAGAGCCTGTCAACAGGTGCCAAGCTGGGGGCAGGAGATGGGAGGGAGGAGCCTCAGAAGGGCTGTTTTTGAAGCTAGGGTTGGGCAGGTTACTCACAGGGAAGTCTGTGCCCAAGGTTTCTATGCAGGGTGCATGAGGGATTGGGGAATGGGGTCGTCTGTGGGGCGGGGGTTAGGCTGGGGGACTGCGGTGAGGGGCCTCCGGAAGCCAGTGAGGGGGTCTCCTGCCGCCGTGGCCCAGCCCACTGCTCCAGCATCCAGAAGCTTGCCTGCAGAAAGCCTCTACTAGAGGGAGCAGGGAGGTGGGGAGCCTCCCTCAGTGGCTGCTGGGATTAGCACTAGTGTGCATGGAGTGGCGGGAGTCCAGCAAAGCCCATCCAGAGGAGCAAAAAGTTGTGCAGAGTCCCCCAAGTTTGACATGTTGGCTACCAAGCGGCTCCAGAGACTTGGTGGGCCAGACATTGACAGGTTGTCCCTGGGGAGGCGACCCAGAGCCGGTCTCTGCCCGGCCTGGTAGGGGAAGAATGGAGGTTTGCTGATGGATGTCCCCCTCCTTTGCAGACCCTCCAGCTTCCGAGAAAGACTCCAGCCCCCCAGCCACAAAGAAAGACCCAGAGCTCCCTAACACGAAGAAAGACCCTGGAGCCCTGGACCTGAAGAAAGATCCAGACCCGCCCTCCCTGAAGAAAGATGCTGAAGCCCCCGCCCCAGAGAAAAAGGGTGACCAGGCCCCCGCTTCAGCCAGCAGCCAGGGCCCTTCAGGAGAGGGGCACGAGGGCACCCCTACCATGAAGAAAGACCCTGGAGCCCCGAACCTGAAGAAAGATCCAGACCCATCCTCCTTGAAGAAAGATGCTGAAGCCCCCGCCCCAGAGAAAAAGGATGACCAGGTCCCAGCTTCAGCCAGCAGCCAGGGCCCTTCAGGAGAGGGGCATGGGGGTGGGGGGCCTGCGGAAGGCAGTGTGGGACCTCCTGCAGCCTTGCCCCAGCCCACTGCCACAGCGGAGGCCAGCGTCCAGAAGCCAGATGCCAAGCAAGCACCGCCAGGCAACGAGGGACCGGGGGAGCCCAAGGCAGGCAAGAAGGCAGCAGAATGCCGAGAAGCAGGGAGGAGGGGCTCTCCTGCCTTTCTTCACAGCCCTAGCTGTCCAGCCTTCATCTCGTGGTGAATATCCCTGCTTGGGGAGAGAGAGGTCCAGCGGCTCCTTTGTCCAGCTTAAGCTCCCTGGCTCGAGTTCTAGGCATCGTCACATTTAGTGCTGGGGAGCGTAGTTCAGGCACCCACGCTACTCCCCTATTTCTGAAGAAAGGCTAATACCTTCATTCAGAGAAAAGAATGTCTGACAGGAGATGTCTCTGAAGACTTCCCAGGCTACATACTTTTTTATTTTTTATTTTTATTTTTTGCCCCCTCTAGACTTCTGGGCACTCGTTGCATGAGTATCAAGCTGCAAGCTAGAGAGTGTAGCCTTCTTAATTTAATATGAAAAGGTGACTAACAGTTCATTCATAAGCCGAGGCAGTCAGTTATGCACAAGGGGACCCTCGGGATCTCTGGGCACAATGGTGGCAAATGGCGGCAATCCTCACACCAGCCGGATAGTAACACATTAGTGGCAGTTACATGGCAACAGTTTTTATGAATCAGGAGCCTTATAGCTCCCTGTCACCCTGTACGATTAGCCACATCACTGCAGTCAGGTTCTGTCGGTGGGGCCTCCCTGTGTTGAGAGTCGGCCCTTGAGGTGGAGACGGTGGAGGTGGGTGTATTTGGGGCGGGGGGGACAAGGTTGTCTCAGCTCTAGCTGGCAAGTGAGGCCTGGAAGCCTCTAACCTGCCTGAGGCATCTCACTTCTTACCTTCTAGCTCTGAGAAGACACCAGCTGTGAAGCCCCTAAGCGAGACAACAGAACTCATCTTTGCAGGGGTGTCTGAGACCTCCGACCCCCCAGATCCTGGGCCAGCCAAGGCAGAAGGAGGGACGAACACCCTGGCAGAGAACCAGAAGGAAGAGGCAGAGAGAGCCCCAGGCCAGGCCGGGCAGGCTAAGGTGCAAGGGGACACCTCTCAGGGGATCGAGTTCCAGGCTGTTCCTTCTCAGAGAGCCGAGGTGGGGCAGGCCCTCAGCCTCACTGCCAGGGAGGAAGACTGCTTCCAAATTCTGGGTAGGTAGGGACAGGCTGGGGCTGGAGTGTCCTGGGAGAGGGGGAGAGAAGGGATGGAGAAGTTCCAAGTATCCTTCCTCGTGCAGGACTACCCTGATTCAGGCCTCCCTCAGGCTCCCTGGTCTAAGCGTCACAGGCGCCAGGTGGTGTTTCTTTAAGATAGAGACGGGATAGGGAGACAGGCTGCCCAGAGATGACGAAGACCATCTGATCCAAAACCCCGCTTTTGATTTTCTTCCACTTTGGTTAACATGGGATTGAAAGAGGAAAATCATACAGAGAAGCCGAGCAACACAGTTTCCGAAAAGCGGATTTGGGGCTCTGTCGGAGGGAAGGTTCCAATGTCAGGTGCTTTGAAAAGAAACAGTGGAGGGCAGGGTATCAGGGAGCCAGAGCGGTTTCATGAGCTGCACAGGTGTTTGTGCGTGGGACCAGTGGCCAGGGAAACTGGGGCAGCACTCCACAGGTACTCAGAGAAAGCCCCGGGTTACAGGAGAGCCAGCCGGAGTTGTGAAGGGGTCTCAGCAGGAGTGCAACTGGGCTTGGGGGTGGGTGGGGTGACATAGGGTCAGGAGAGCCCAGAGTGTCCTGACACCCCCTCCTCCAGGCGAGGTGCCCTGGGAGACCAGCCAGCCTGCCTGGCTCGGGGCAGAGTGCCACCCAGACAGGGTGGGAGGACCTGGCGGCTGGGTGGTGGCCAGGGGCCCTGCCTCCTGCCCCCGAGGCGACAGAGACCTCCGCCCCGCCCAGAGATCACATCCTTGGCATGGCAAGACCTGAACTACCTCCAAGGGCCGTCTGATTTATCACCAGTGTGGCTTCCCTGCAGCCTTTGACTATTTTTAAAGGTTTCCATTCCGATGAGTCAGCCTACTGGCCTTCGGGGCCCGCTGTAATCATGATGCCCACTAGGTGGCGGTATGTCACCACCGAACTGCTGCGTCCCTGGGCGCCCCTCCGCGGTGTAATCAGGTGGCTGGCAACAGTCTCTACCCACACCATCATCCAGACACAGCAGTCCCACTGTCTGGGGTTCCACCTCACAGCTGCTGTGTGGGCTTGTTCAGGTGTTTGATTGTTTATAATGGAAACAGCCCCACCCCGCCCTCCAGTAGCTTGCATCTAAATCCAGTCAGCTAGCTGTCTCATCGTTCTACAGAGACCCTGAACCCCCCCACCCCCCACTCCCACCCCCACCCCACCCACCCCCCTGCTGAAGACAGATGTCCAAGGCCATTTTGGGTGTACACACAAAACTAGAATTGGAAACTGGGTCTGGTATTCCATGTTCTGACCAGGTGTCTCCCAGACATCAATTGGTAAACTCAACTTTCCTGGAGAGGAGGGAGGGGGGACCCAGATCTGTAAGGAGCCGGTGATGTCACAGACATTTCCGAGAAGTCCCCACCCCTGACTCTAACAGCTCAACTCTGTCTCCCTAGATGATTGTCCACCACCCCCAGCCCCCTTCCCACACAGGATCGTGGAGCTGAGGACCGGAAATGTCAACAGTGAATTCAGCATGAACTCAAAGGAAGCACTGGGAGGGTGAGACAGCCACCCAAGCTTGGAGACATGCATGGGGGGTGGTATCCAGCCCCTGGGACCAGACACACCCACTACAACATGGCTTACATGCATGTACTTGCTTCTTTGTGGTCACACACCCCAAAGGTGTGTCACACACCCCAAAGAAGTGGCTGTGGTCACTTTCTGGATGAGCCCTTGGCCATTCCCATAAGAAATGCAGTCTGTCCCTCCAAGTTCCCCCCACCCCCACCCCCACTCTCCAGCCATCAGCTTACTAAAACAGCCTCCACTTCAGGAGGGAGTTAGGGCTGGTGGGGTGGGAGCCCCTATCTCTCAGGGAGCAGCCGGAGTCACCACTAGGCCTGCGTCAGGAGGAGAAGGGAGCTCAGGCCCTTGCTGATCCCTGGGTCTTAGAAGAAGCCTCACTCCCAACCTCTTCTCATTCCAGTGGGAAGTTTGGAGCTGTGTGCACCTGCACGGAGAAGGCCACAGGCCTCAAGCTGGCAGCCAAGGTCATCAAGAAACAGACTCCCAAGGACAAGGTAGTGGGGGGATGTTCTTAGAGTGGCTCCCTCGTATCTCCAGCTACCCAGTGCTAAGCTGGGAGCCTGGTGTGAAAGCTGGTGGCATTAAAGATGCCACACAGAGAGGAGGATGGACAAACAGCCTGTTACAGGAGCCTGGTGACCCTAGCCAGAAACCACACATCCCATTTCTCAGGGGATTCTCTCTTCTGGGCCCTCTCACCGCAGCTCAGCAGTGCTGGGGGCTGGCTTAGGCCTGTGATGGACACTGGGAATCCCCAAGTGCAGTGAGGTAGACCCTGTCACCAGGGAGCCTGTGCCAAGGGAAGGGAGCCCAGTGGAGAGCTTGGTTTCCCACTGCTGATGTGGTCTGGGCTCATGTCTCGGAGAAGCTCTGGCTCCAGGAGTGAGCAGTTAGCTATGTACAGGTTCACATGGATTGAGGGCAAGAGGGCAAAGGGATGTGAGCCTGGCAGCAGGGGCCAACAGAAGTGTTTGGGGAAGCTATGGGGAGGAGAGGGTCCTGCCTCAGCCCTGCCTCAATGATGCTTCCTGGAACAGCTTCTACGGAGAGAAGGTTTTGCAGATGGAAGTGTTCCAGAGGCAGGCCAGGGAGAGAAGTTTAGGCAGAGGATTGTGGAAGTGAGATTCAAGCAGAGCAATTTCCTGGAACCTGGGTTCACTCTAGCATCACAGAGATAGAAGAAAGGAGGAAAAAGAAGGGAGGAAAGGCCCAAGGGCCAGAGATGGCAGGGCCGAAGGTTACCAAATGTTATGGGCAAAGGTGGCCACATGTGCGAAAGGCCCGGGCCACCAAGACATGGTACGGTACTACAATGCTACAGAGTACTGATCCCCTTTGCTCCCAGCACTGCTGGGAGGGACAGGTTTTCTGTGTGGCACTACTCTGCTCCTGTGTACCTACTTACTGATTAATTGATTGGTTGATTCATTGAGATAGGGGCTCACGTATCCCACAGTGACCTTGAACTCACTTGGAGCAGAGGATGACCCTGAATTCCTGATCCTCTGCTTCTGCTTCCCGAATGTTGGGGTTGCAAGTGTTTGCCACTAGCTCCAGTTTATGTGGTTTGGGGAATTGAACCTAGGACCTTCTGAATACTAGGCAAGCACTCTGCCAACAAATGGAGCTCCATCTCCAGCCTCAGATCTGTACTTTTGACCGCTCTCCACTGGCCTCCATCCCAGGATCTGGTTTAGCACGAATGCTCAGTGTCCTGTAGTAATTCACACAACCGTATGCCGTGTGAGTTAATTGGAGCCAGCTGTTGGTTAATTGATCACTGAGCATTTTTTTTTCTTTGCCTTCCACTGTGCCAGGTGTCAGAGAAATATCACAGGACTGAAAAAGTCCCCAACCTCACGGGACCAGCACATCAGAGTATAGGGACAGATAGATGACTAAAAGCTGGAACAAAACGAAGAGCATGTCACCAGGTGTTGAGAAGTGCCAGGAAAAAAGAAAAGAAAAGAAAGAAAGAACCAGGACAGTGCCGGGGCATTTGGGCGGAGGGGCCTCCCTGGGGAGTGGTAGGCAAAGTAAGAGCTGATGAAGGAGTGGAATGAAGGGCAAAGAGGTTCAGCTGGATAACTTGCACCGGTGCCTAGAGTTTAACAGCTGCCTGGGGAGTTTGGGAGCATGGAGAGGCCTGATGAGCAGCATGTGCCAATTTCATAGTGTAAATATTCCCACCATAGCTTGGATCATCCCCCCACCCCCAATGAGACTGCACACTTTCTGAAACTTACAAGTGTCAGTTGTTTGGAATAGAAAGAGGAGGTGAGGGATGGCAGGGTTCCAATCTGGTTTAGGGTGGAACTGTGCCAAAGGCCTTAATTGATAGACTGTCTCAATGCGAACACAGAGATGATAGCTCCCAGCTCTTTGTCCCCAGTGCTTGGGTGAAGGCTCATGTTTTATTTTGTCTGTTTCTGGTGGCTACAGGCAAGTCAAGCATGGAGAAGGGTGGTATCAAGGACTTAGCACATGATAAACCTGGGGCTTTCTTAGATTCCCCAATGGGAAATGGCAAAGATGGCTGGCGGCTGGGTAGATTAGAGTCAAGAGATAAAAGCAGTGCTCAGAGGCAGTGCTATGTATTTAAGAATCAATCCCTTTTTAGGGGTGGGGGTTTTACAGGGTCTCATTGCATGATCTAGGGCAATCTTGAACTCTTGCCCCTCCTGCCTCTGCCCCCTGAATTCGGGGATTACAAGCATGTGCCACCACACGTGGCTCTGGAAACTGATCCCACCTGGCTGCAGCATAGCTATGGGTCTGATGCAGGTGTTCAGGTGAGGTTATAGGGAGAGAGTGATGGAGACCAGGGGCCAGGTGGGAGGAGGCTGGGGGGGTTGGTGGTGCCCGGTGGGTCCTCTTAACTTCCCTGCTCCCCAGGAAATGGTGCTGCTGGAGATCGAGGTCATGAACCAGCTGAACCACCGCAACCTGATCCAGCTCTACTCAGCCATTGAAACCGCTCACGAGATCGTCCTGTTCATGGAGTAGTGAGTTGGGGGAAGCGCCTACTGGGGATGGGGGTGAGGTGGGGGGGGCTGCCTTGTCGGGGGAGAAGGAGGGGAGCTCGGCCCTGCAGCCTGGAGCCAGTCTGCAGAGGGGATCTGTGCACACAGCATCGAGGGCGGCGAGCTCTTTGAGAGGATCGTGGATGAGGACTACCATCTGACCGAGGTGGATACCATGGTGTTCGTCAGGCAGATCTGCGACGGGATCCTCTTCATGCACAAGATGAGGGTCCTGCACCTGGACCTCAAGGTACTGGGCCTCCTAGAAGCGCACTGACCGCCTGGTGTCACTGTGGTCATGACTCATCGGCGTCTCTCTAGCTCCTCCCATTCCTCCTCCTTCTCCATCCCTCCTTCCCACAGAAAGGCCAGGGTGGGAGGTAGAGGTGGGGGTGGGGGGAAGGCATGTCTTAGTCTCAACTTCCGTGAAGCTTACGGTCTGGTGTTTCCAGCTGCTGGTGTCTCGCAGCACCGGCCTCCATGTTACCTTGAGACAGGCGCTGCCAGTATGTATCCCTTAGAAGGAGAAGCTAGTGTTGAGGGTCCACTTCATAGCAGCCAGTGTCCTGGAATGCCGACATGGAGCCCACTGAGAAGCCTCACGCAGGTGCCACAGTGCCCAGGAGGCAGGCAGTTGTGAAGAGCTCTGCAAGAGGACATTCACATTCTGAGCTAACGGAGTCCCTTGCACACAGCTGGCTAGGGATGGCAAACGGATTTTACACAGCACGCTCACTCCCGTCAGCCCCAGTGGCTGCCAAGGGCGTGGAATGGGAAGGGGGAAACACAAACTGCCAGGCATCTCCTGTCCCTGTGGCAGATGCTAATGAGTATCGCTGGGGGATAATAAGCTCCATCCGGCACCTGTGTTTCTGTGCTCCTCACTTAATGCCCAGTTGCCCAGTACCTGCCACAGCGAAGAGGACTCCTAATGGGGGACCAGGATGGACATGTCCCTGTCCATTCTACGATGTCCACACAAGTGAAATCCATTACAAAGGTTACAAAAGGCACAAGGGTGCACCCAGGAGATGCAGAGGATGGAGACAGGGGAGCAGGCATTTGTCTGTGGAGTAGGGCTGTGGAGGAGACTCCGGCTTTGCTCAGTGCTGTGATCTGAGAGGGCATGAGAGTCTCCAGGAACCTCCTGCAGGTACCTCTGAGGACAAACCCGGAAGGAGAGAGGAGAGGTGGTTTCCGGTGGGGCCTAGCTGGGGTGTGGACCTTGGGAGGCCACACTGGGATGCTAGGAGAGAGCTGGTGGGCGTGGGTATTCTTTGAAAAAATAAGAGTACCTGGCTGAAGGTGAATGTGGACTTGCTTGGGGAAAAGCCAGAGGTGCTTCTCCAGGTACAGGGACAGATGGGGGTTCCTCTAAGAACTAGGGTAGCTGGAGTGCTATGTGGGGGGAACATTTGAGACCTGTTATTCCCTGTGAAGGCCGATTTTTGTGGGCGATAGAGTAGGGCCTCTAATTAAAATGCAAGGGCCCTGGGGGAAAGGACTCTGCCTCCAAGAATGTGGTTTCCAAAAAAGGGTTTGCTTACGGAGGCAGGCACTGCCTAGAGCAGCAGAAACCTTGCTGTCCTTGTTGCCCTACTCACTCAGCCCCTGGCTTTCCACTTCCTGATAGCCGCCCCGCCTGGCCTCTGGCCAGGGCACACTCCCTATCTGCAGACCTCAGTTTCTCCACCCTTCGCCGGACTGAGTGGAGAGAAATTCCACCTGACCCTACTGGGTAGCCTCGTGCCTTGAGACAGGCCCCTCACAGGGCTTCTGCCTTCTTAGGCTGAGGGCAGGAAGGCATCATGGGACCCTGAGTTCCCTCTTTGGATCTACTCCCATGTGTGGGGTCCCCAGCAAGGGACCAGGGTGGAGCTGCTGGGGAAACGAGGGTGAGCTGGGTCAGAGGCCAGTCTGGGCCGCCATCCCTGTCTCCTCAGCCAGAGAACATCCTGTGTGTAAATACTACTGGCCACTTGGTGAAGATAATCGACTTCGGCCTGGCACGGAGGTACCCTCTGGGTGGATGGGAGGGTGGGGCCTAGGGGTGGAGGGGGGCTGGATGTTTCCAGTGTCGGCTGGGAACCTGGGCTCTCAATCTCACTCCCAGGTATAACCCCAACGAGAAGCTGAAGGTGAATTTTGGGACGCCGGAGTTCCTGTCACCTGAGGTGGTGAATTATGACCAGATCTCTGACAAGACTGACATGTGGAGCCTGGGGGTCATCACCTACATGCTGTGAGCCCCGGGGACGTGCTGGCTGCGGCCAGCAGGGGCGCAGGGGTGGGTAGGAGAGGACAAAACTGGCCTTGGGGCTCTGTCGACGTGGTCCCACCTCTCTCAGCTTACAGCCTGGGTGTATTTTTGGAAAAGGCTAGGGAGAACCAGAAAGGGGGACTTTGTACCCATTTTATATATTAAAACAAACAAACAAACAAACCCTCCAAGGTGCCCTAAATGCACACATCTTGCCCTGGGGTAGACTCCGGAAGCAGATTGCCCATGCCCTGGGGTGGGGTCAGAGGGGCAGTGGACATCTTTTGTGTGTGCTCACCGTGTGTTTCACACCATTCCTCATCTTCACTGCAACCCTGGGAAGCTGGGGTGATTATGCCCATTTTACAGATGAGAAGAGTGAGGCTCAGAGAGGGGAAGTGACTTGCCCAAAGTCACCCAGCCAGATTCAAACCCAGGTCTGTCCCACTCTGGAAGCCCGGGGTCTTTCCAGCACATGCTGCCTCTTAGGCTCTGCCCTATCCCCGGCAGCTGCCACCTCACTCTCTTGCCCCACTCTTCCTTCCCTCTAGACTGAGTGGCCTCTCTCCCTTCCTGGGAGACGATGACACGGAAACCCTGAACAATGTCCTGTCTGCCAACTGGTACTTTGATGAAGAGACCTTTGAAGCTGTGTCGGATGAGGCCAAAGACTTTGTTTCCAATCTCATCACAAAGGACCAGAGGTGAGGCTTGCCTTGGCTGGGAACCCTGTATGTTCAAGTGCGTGTGTGGGCCAATTGGTGCTGGCATGGGCTTACCCTCACCACACCCACAGTGCCCTTCTCCACACCTCCTCCACAGTGCCCGAATGAGTGCGGAGCAGTGCCTCGCCCACCCCTGGCTCAACAACCTGGCAGAGAAAGCCAAACGTTGCAACCGCCGCCTCAAGTCCCAGATCCTGCTTAAGAAATACCTCATGAAGAGGCGCTGGAAGGTATCAGAGCTGGGGGAGGAGGAGGAGGGCTGAGAGGCAGGAGAGCCCGTTGCCAGGTCCGGCCCTACCAGCTATGCCTTGGCCGTCTCTGCTGACAGGGCCTGGCCTTGTCTGGGAAACACAGGCTTTTCTCTGGGGCCTGGGCTAGATCCCATTCTGGATTGGAGCTGTGCACCACACTGCCTGCCAGGAGAGGATCATTAATCTAGGGCTCAGGCTAGGGAGAGCACCTCTGACCCCATCACAATCTCCTCCACTTCCCAAATATCTATTGAGCAGCTGTTACTCTTAAATGGCCCACTGCTGCCCACTGCTGCAGTAGAGATGAGAGTCAGGAAACTGGGTCTTGTAGACTTTTTGTTTTGTTTTTTTGAGACAGAGTTTCTCTGTGTAGCCTTGGCCATCCTGGTTGCTTTGTAGAGCAGGCTGGCCTCGAACTCACAGCAATGCGCCTGCCTCTGCCTCCCTGAGTGCTGGGACTACAGGTGTGTACCACCACACCCAGCTGGGTCTCATAGCCCGAAGCTTCAGTGAAGGTAGAGAGTTTTTAAGAGGGTGGAGAGGCTACACCTTCCAACAGGGAGCTGAGGGCCCAGTGAGGAGAACAGGTGAATCAACACCTCAAGGAAGAGGGGGCAGGGGAAGGCTTCCAGGCAGGAGAGCACCCAGTGTGTGGCCCCTGGCAGAACCTGGATCTCGAGTGCGAGCAACAGACAGCAGGCAGTATGGCTGGAAGGGAGTAAGCGGGGTCAGGGCAGAGTGGCCTGAGCAGCGGCTCTCAGCCTTCCTAATGCTGTGACCCTTTAATGCAGTTTCTCATGCTGTGGTGACCCCAACCATAACATGATTTTGTTGCTACTTCACAACTGCGATTTTGCCACTGTTGTGAATTGTAGTGTAAACGTCTGATCACAGGATATCTGAATACATGACCCCTGTGAAAGGATCATCTGACGCCCACACAGGTCCCACTGGTTGAGAATTGCAGCTATAGAGGGACTCATAAAATGGAATGAGGGGCCTATTTTGCTTGGACCGAACAGTGTTGTGACACTTTTAATAGCTGGGCAGCCTACTGGAGGGCCTCTGATGCTCCTTTAATGATGGGGAGATTTTTTTAAAGTCTTCTAATTCTAATTTTTTTTTATTTTACATTTACTTATTTATTGCATATGTGTATACAGAAGACACACATCCGTGCTGTGGCCTAGAGGTTAGAGCTCTAGGCTCTAGTCAGTTCTATCCTTCTAGCACGTGCCTCTCAGGGACTGAACTTAGGCTTGGCTGCAAGCGCCCTTATCTGCTAAGCCAGAAGGGGGTTCTCTGCCATAGTGCTGACCAGGACACCTCTCTTGTCCCCCCCAGAAAAACTTCATTGCTGTCAGCGCAGCCAATCGCTTCAAGAAGATCACTAGCTCGGGGGCACTGATGACTCTGGGAGTCTGAACCCCAGGAGCAGCGAAGCCTGGACGCAGCTGCGCAGTGGTCAAGGCTGAAGCCACACAGCTCAGAAGGCCAGAGAGAGCCGGCCAGATCTCTAGGACAAAGGCTGGTCAGGACAAAGCGGCACCAGCCGGGAGGCTTGGGGCTCCCCAGGCCCTCAGGCGACACCGCTTCCCTTATGAGAACATGAGTGTGGCCTGGAATCCATCTTGCTACCGCCTCCTCAGACAGGGCTGTGGCCCATCAGCCCCACCCAGACTCCAAGGACGTCCAGGCCATTCCCTCTCCTCTCCCTAGCTTCCCCCCTTTGAACTGCTGCCCCTGTAGCCTCTGCTTTGCCTCGCCTGGGGCACCCTTGCCTGGAGTGGGGTGGCGGGGGGTCCAGCAGGTGGTAGTGTTGGTGGATGGGGAGCGTCTAGCAGGGTAAGAATGCAGCCCAGCTGCCAGGGGAGACAGAGCAGGCTTTGTGTGAGAGGACCTCCATGCCCCGCCTCACAATCCCAACAGATACGGCCTCGAACACACCATCTGGCCTCCCGGCCCCCACCCACTGCTTTTGTGACCACCAACACACAGAAACTGTGAGAGAAAGCCAGCCCAGGCCTGGAGCGGTGGGGGTGGGGGAGAGGCCTGGGAGACATGAGACCACCCCCAAGTCCACCTGAGGACTGAGGTTCCCAGCCTGGCCAGTCCCAGGGGCATTCGCAACCCCACGTGACAGGATGAACATGCCCACGAGGAGTGTGAAGCCATCGGGCAGTCCCCAACCTGCTCTAAGCTTGTGCCTTGTAAATAAATATCCAGGCTGGAGGCGGCCTCCTTCTCTCTGCACGTGCACAGCCTCGTGTGAGCTCACCAGTCGTGCACCCACTATGTGCCAGGTGCTGAGGTCTCACATGTACGCATAGTGGGGTGTTCACGGATAGCAGGCTCAGAAGCCAGGCTTCCAAACATGAGCTGTGTTCAAGCGGCTTCCCTTGCTCTCTCAGGTTTCTCGCCTAGGAGGGGGAAGGAGGGGGATGTCACAAGAGCTGTGCAGGGTCACTTGTGCTAGACTCTAGTCTAGCTCAACGTGGATTAGTTCATTATCCTTGGGAGGAGGAGGGAGAGGAGAAGGAAGATAAGATTTCTATCTCACAGAGGGAAACTGAGTCAGGGGTAAAACAGGTAAGACCCACCTCATGGAGAAGAGAGGATGATGGTGTAGCAATAGTAAGATGGAGACAAGGGCTTTGAACTATACACAGCCCAGGGCTGGGATGGGGGCAGGGGTGTGTGTCTTTATCCACGTTCAGTAGGCAAGGAAACTGAGGCTCAGAGCAAGGAAGGAATTTGAAGCCTGCCCTGTAAGGCTGGGCCTGGGGCTTGGAAAAAACTCTTCCTGTAAGCTCAACATGGAACAAGGTGGGAGCCGAACCCAGAGCATCCAGGGAAGGCTAACAGCCCATGGCTGCGATGCCTCTGTCTAGCTTCAGCGAGCTCTGCTTTCTGCTCCCCGCTCGCCTCATCCAGGCACTCCAGGCAGGCATCTGCCTGAGGGGCAGCTGAGAAAGCAGAGCAGAGTCATACTAGTGTGCAGATTTTCTGAGGTGACAGAGCCCCAAGTGAGGCAGCTGGCTCCGCGTGCGGTGGCCTGCCAGAGTGACAGAGAGGCACCAGGTGACAAGAGCACCACGGTCCCAACCTGCAATGACCAGCATGGAAGTGTCGAACCCTTTGCCTGGTGGAAAAGCTGATTTCAGGCAGCCTCAAGAGGCTGGAGGGAAGCAGGATCAGTACACAGACTGACCAGGCAACGTTTCTGCTCTGGCTGCTGCCCTTTCCCCCTGGCTTGGGCCTTGGGTGTGTCCACAGACCTCTGTGCTGTTGCACATCCTTTCTCCTGCCTCCACGACTGCAGAACCGGGCACCTGGCCCCTGCCTGCCCTGGGAAGGGAACGTTCGGAGGACCTGGTTTGGGCTGTGAACGGCAGATGTACTAACAGCAGGGACCCCCAGGGCCACACACTGCTGCCCCACCCCCGTTGGCACCGTGCGGCCCCCACCCCCACCCCAACCTGACCTCCGCCAGCTGGGCCTGGGTTTCCACTGAGTGGTCCTCTTTGCCTCACTGGCCCCGCCCTGGCTGAGCATCGGGCCACACAGGACGATGATGAGATGATGAGTGAGTCACTCCTTAAGCTGAGGGAAGAGAATCAGATTCAGCCTAAGCTGAGATCCAACGCTTGGATCCAGCTGGGGAAACTGAGGCCACAACAGGGAAGACCCTTCACCAAAGACTTCAACAGCTGGGGCTAGAACCCTGACTATAAGCACAAACCCCCCCCCCCCCCCCCCCCCCCCTTGGTTTGTTTGTTTGTTTTTTTGAGACAGGGTTTCTCTGTGTAGTTCTTGCTATCCTGGAATTAGCTCTGTAGACCAGGCTGGCCTCGAACTCACAGAGATCAGTCAGGCTCTGCCTCCTGAGTGCTGGGATTAAAGGTGTGCACCACCACACCTGGTTCTCGCTTCCTCTCTATAGCTCGATCACAACCTTCACTCTTCTTCTGCAACTTCTAGAGTCATCATGGTTGAGATAGGAGGGGTGCTCATCTACCGTGTTTTACAAGGGAGGGAACAGGTTCAGAGAGGAAAGGTGCCTTGCTCAAGGCCACAAGTTAGTATGTCCTGGGCAAGAAGCCCTCTGAGAACCGTGAGTGGGGATGATCACCCTCTAACCCCCAATCTATCCTGCCTCCCTTCTCCCAGAAACATTTGTGCCTCACTGTTCCCTGGAGGCACAGAATGTAGACCGGACAGTATAGATGGGAGAATGGGGTTTTATAGGAACTTCCCCCTCCCCTCGCCCCCAAGACAGGGTTTCACAATGTAGCCCTGGCTGTCCAGGAACTCACTCACTGAAATATGCCTGCCTCTGCCTCCCAAGTGTGGAGATTAAAGGCATGTGCCGCTTCGTAGGGACTTTTTGATCTCCCAAAGCCTGCAGCGCACACTCAGGCAAAACTGGAGTCTTTCTCCTGTTGCAGAGCTGGGTCCGCCTCTCTGGAGCCTGGGACCTGAGCCCCATTGCTCTAAATAGAGTTCTATCCCTGGCTGCCACTGGGAGAGAGGAGTCTGTATCCTAGAGCTTCACTAAGGAAGGCAGGGGTTCACAGCTGACAGGGACTGCCGGACCTGACTAGCCAGAGCCCTGCTGTCCTCAGGCTTTGAGCTTTCCCAGGCTCTAGGAAGAGCATACCCTCCCCCCACACACACACAGCCGGGGGCACGGCTCTTCCTGCAGTGTGTGCTGTCACCTGCTATCAGCATGTGTGCCTCCCTGGGGCTGGGCTTGGGCACCCCTTTGGGCCAAGAAGGGTTAAGAGCCTCCAATGGACCCTCCTCCTAGCTGGGCCAGCCCAGAAAGTGTTGCTCCAAGGCCATTTCCTGCCTCTGGGCCTGGGCCAGGTCCACAGTGACCACCCCCTGGGTCTGGAAGCCACCGAGGCCACATCTGGTTTGGATTACACCAGCACTGTGACGTTGCCTTTTCCTGTCTGAGTCTGGTGGCCTTGAATTCCTCTGGCCACCTTGAACCCAACTAGGCAGTGGTGGGAAAAGATGCAGCCCTCGCTTGGCTGCCAGGAGGGAGCAAGGCCTCCAGGGTTGTTCCGGGAGGTGGGGTGCTGTCTCCGCACCTGCCGAGTCCTCCCTGCTCTGACAGGAAGCACTTCTTGAACCCCAACACTGTATTGTGAAAATCCATGTGTTAGCCATGTAGCATTTCATAGCTACGGAAACTGAGGCAAGGGTGAACTTAGGATGTGAGTTGGGCAGTGTGGGTAAAGTTTCCCTAGACCAGTTTCCAGGGAGGCCCACAGCCTCTGGGACCACAGAGGTAGGTCCCAGGGTGGGCCTGGGAGAAGCTGGAAGAAAACTCAGGAAACCGTGGGCACAGGAAAGAGTCACCAACCTGAAGTCTCATCTCTCCAGGAGTAACTCTCTAGATGAGGGCACATAAGGAACAAATCTTTGAGGGATAGCAGGGCAAGTGTGGTGGGCCAAGAGAGTGCAAAAAGCCAGACAACAAGCTCGCCTGAGTGTGCTCTAGTAAGGTCTTGTGTATGTTGAAGGACATGATCGGGGGAGCTAGTCAGGCTGACTGAGGGTCTCAGGGAGCCACGGGAGAGTTTTGAGCAGAGGAAGCAGACAGTAACATAGCTATCTGCTGCCAGGCAGGTGAATCAATGGGAGAGACTGGAGGTGGGAGAGCGGAGGCTGGTGTGCAGTGGCTTTAGCAGAGACAGAGCGGGTAGAGCCAAAGAGCTCAGACACCTCAAGGTACACGGGGCGGGCTCCTGTCTGTAAAATGGGATAATGACAATACCTGCTTTCCCAGGGCAGCGCCAAAGTCACATCTGATGCCCAGGCAGAGCCTGGTGCAGCAGGATCCTGAGCTGTGTTTGACTATTTCAGGAACCCCTGCTGTGTTCCTCCAGTTGCAGGGACAGCAGTGAACAGACAAAGTCTCAGGAGGCTTCTTCTAGTGGGTAAAACACACTGGCCATAGCCAGCTCTGGCCGGGGGGAGGAAGGGTCGGTGATCAGGGGCTTCTCATCTGGGGATGCCTGATGGAAGCTGGGAGTGAGGAGACAGCCCTGTGGATAATGGTGGAGGGCTTTCCAGGCAGAAGAAAGGGTGGGCGTCAAAGCCGCTCTGAGTCAGTGAGGTCATGGAAGTATGCTCTTGCCCACAAGCCCCTGGAGGGTGCTGAGTGAGGCAGAGGGTCCCTGGGGTTCTTTGAGACAATGCCTTGTGAAAGAAAAGTGTGTAACCAAGGCACCATTCACTTGTAAACATTCACCACATCCCTACTGAGGTTGAGAGGAGGAAAAGCGAACAGGGCAAACACAGCCCTTGCCCTAAAACCTATGTGCCAAGGTGAAGATACACAGGTGTAGACCCTGCAACTGTGAGCACCTCACAGGTGGGGCCTCAGGAAGGCAGCATGAGGCTGCAGGAGAGAAAACATGCAGGACAGTTAACTGGACTCGGGCTTCGGGGCTACATTGGGATGATGTTGGCCAGTGACAGGAACTGTATGTAGAAAGCCACCCTGTGGAGAAGGGACTCCCCTCAAAGAGCAGGCCGCACAGAGGTTTGTAAGTGGAGATGCTCACCTGAGCCAGCTGCCAGCAGGGAGGAAGGACCAGCTGCTCTCCCATGTGCCTAATGGACACTGGGCAACTATGGGTCTGACCTGGAGGAAAGTGATCTGGGGGCACCCCCGGCCTTCCTGGCTGACGGAGTGACTAACGGGGCCTCTGGTCTGTTTTTAGCTCCAGAGCCATTTCCTTCTGCCCACCATCTGTCTTCCTGAGTCACCCACCCAGTTACCAGCGGGCTGGGGACAGAGACTCAGGCAGCTCAGGGGAACCTCTAGGTTACATACAGTTCTGTGTGTATCTGTTTGTCTGTCTGTGTGTACTCAAATGATTCAGCTGAGAGAACAAGGCTGAGAGTGTGGGGACCTCCAGTGGGGATATTTTTTATTCTAATTTCATCTTTATTGACCAAATGATACATAAGGATGTAGATGGGCTTCCCACAGGCCAGGCCTGGTCATCAAAAACAGCATCCCCATTTTATAGAGGAGGAAACTGAGGCTCAGTGAGCGAGTCCACACAGAAGAACAGAACTCTCAGCCCACAGCATCATTTAGTCCTTTCCCTACACTGTGTCCCCTTCTTCCATAGCGGCTAGACAGTGCCTTGGCAGGAGATGCACCCTGGTGAGGGGACACACCAGGCCCTCAGTGCGGACTTACCTCACTTAACTATCATTTATGTTGCAATTCTGAGTGCCAGGCCCTGCCCTAAGCACTTTGCGAATGCTAACTTGGAGAACCCTCACACCAGCCCTGTGTGGGCGAATGTTGTCTCCTTCTGAAGAAAACAGTGAGAGGAAGTGGCTTCCCCAGGCCACACAGCTAGGACAGCTCTGAAGGCAGGCTGGCCTCTGGCAGCCTGGCTTATGGGTGATGGGAGCTTGGACAGGGGAAGGACATTGGGCTGAGGCCTGGATTCCTGGGTTCCTGCACTCCCAACAGGCAGATTGTACCAGGCCAACCCAACCTCCCCCTGCTTTCTCATCACTGTGGCAGCCGCGGGAAGCCGCCCTCCGGGGGAGAGGGTCTCTCCCCAGCCAAATGCTGTCTGGGGGTGTGGGAAGGTTTGAGTAACTTGCAGCTCACTCAGGGAATGCCTTCAGCAGGGAAGGAAGCAGCGGGTGGGAGGGAGACAGGACCAAGATAAGCCCCGTGGAAGAGTCTGTGAGGTGGGCCCTTGGGGTGTGGTGGGGACCCTGTCTATGCCCCTCTGATGGCAGATGGGCACTGTGACCTTGGATAGGCAGACCAAATGCCAGCAGGTAATGGCAGTCTGACGGGGTCGCTGTGTTTTGTTGGAACAGGCCCTTCCTGCTTCCTGGAACTCACACAATGTGAGAGGGTCGGAAGATACTCTGTCAAGTGTGCGTTCCAAGAATCTGAGCTGCTGTGATTAAGAACTCTGGAATATTCTTCAACACAGATCCTACCATTTTAGGATTTGATTTCGTCTCAGCACCCTTTCTGCTCTAATTTCCCCAGGAGGAGAAAATGGTCTCGGAACTGGAGCTGGACACAGAGGAGCTTTCACTGAAGGAGTCCCCAAGGCTGTCGGATACCACATCCCTGACCTAAGCATTGTGTGGGTGGGTTGAGGAGACAGCTCTTTTGGTCTTGCTGTGTGACCTTGGCTTTACCATCTGTAGCAAGACGTTCTGTCTAGTCTGACCTGATGGGGGCCCTCACTGGCCCTACATCCCACGCCCTCTAATAGGGGCAGCCAGGCAACAGGCAGAAGTATGTGTTGGCCACAGGAAGAATGTAAGGGGAGGTTGCCCAATGGGAAGGTCGCCACTGGATGCTGAGCTGAGGGCATCGTGAGATCATGATGTCTAGGCCTCCTGACCAAGAACCTCCAGGGATGGGATATCCTCCAGGTTGTCCCCTGGGCCAGATGCTGTTCTGAGAGTCACATACAGTGTCAACTTGCCCACTTCCTATCTGCTGGACAAAGGGAGTGAAACCAAGGCAGAGAGGGGAAAGGGAGCGGACTGGTCCAAGACTGAACAGTGTATCCAGGGTAGGCTCAGACCAAGATCCTACTTGGGGACATCACCACTTTCTTGACAAACAAGAAGTCTTGGGGGTTAAGGGTAGAGGAAGGTGTATCCAGAGCTGAGTTTGGCTGACTTGTTTTTTTTTTTTTTAATTGCATACTTCCTGAAGCGCAGGCAAGCAAGGCCTCAGCCTGGCTGTCCACAGACTCTATGAGCTAGCTACTCTCTTGGGTGGAAGTCGGTGGCATGGTGGCACGGTGGCATGGGCAGTTCTCTCTTAAGAAAGAGAGAGAAACCTGCATCTCATCACCCCAGCCCATGCCCAGGAAGGAACGGAGGCAAGAGCCTTCCTGGCAGAATCCCAGGCTCATCTTGAGGAACATGGACATTGGGGCCCAGACATGGGGCTTGTAGGCTGAACATGCTTGGGAGCCGGGAGCTTTTCCTAGCACTGCTAGCTTCCCATCTGGGATATCCCCAGCTAGGATACAGGCTGAGAAGGGACTTGGGGTCACCAGGGCTCCAGAGGAATGCAAAGCAAGGAACAGTGCCCAACAGAGGCCTCTTTCCCTGACCCAGCCCAGAAAGAATCCCGACTAGTGACTCTGTCCTGTAACTGTCTCCCCAGCACCGCTCCCACACACCCCACATGCTGACCCCACATCACACGAGGGTCCCCTTCCTCCGTGAACCTCCGCCCCTCACTACACAGGACCCTGCTGCCTTTCCTCCCAACAACCCACTGTTTTGCTGGCTGGGGTGCAGCAGGCAGAATAGGGAGGGGGATGTGGGAGGGAAGGAGGGGGAGTTCACCTCCCCCAGCTGGTCAGGCATTTTCCCACCCGCTTCCGGCCACAGCAAGCTTGGCCCCTCAGGTCCCTGCTCCACCTCAGTTCTGGAGTCTGTGGGAACCAGACAGTTCAGTCAGGCCAGCCAGCTTGCTTCCTCCAAAGCCCCAGGGGACATGCGAAGGGAGGAGGGAGCAGCAGAAGCAGAGGCTGAAGTCAGAGAAGCTGCCCAGGGAATGGCTTATGGCAGAGACTAGGCAACCTGCCTAAGGAAGGACAGCCACTCGGTGCCACTTCATGGGACAAAAGGCCTCCTGGGCTCTCTAATGAAGACTAAAATGGGGGCACACCAACACCTTGGCCCTCTGCCTCACCCCATTAGAGGAGCCCAAGGTACAGGAAGCCTTTTGCTTCTCTTCCTGGTGGTGTTGGAGGTGACAGTGAGGTCTTGGGTCCCTGTCTGTTCCTCTGGTGGGTGTCAAGCAAACCGCCACGTACCCTATTCTACCCAGGAGAACAGTTAGAGCAGGGCAAAGCTTGGAGCTCGGCTCTCTCTGCTCAGTACCTAGGGCAGCCATGGGTCCCTGCCCTTCCCTCAAAGAAATGTGTCCACAAAGAGTCACCCGAGGGGTGAGGTGGCTTAAGAGGGTAAAGGCCCCTGAGTTCAATCCCTAGGACCCACATGGTGGAAGGGAAAACCAGCTCCTACAAGTGTCTGACCCCCCCCCCCTGCATACACACACAGTCACAAATAAATTTAATACAATTTTGGTGCAAAAAGTCATCAGATCTCACCCAGGGACCCAGGAGAGGTCTCATTACTGTGGCGAGTTCAAATAAAGACAGGCGCTGCCTCTAGACCTTGGATCCCCAGTTGCACAGGGTGAAGTGTAACTTATCAGCTCTGGAGTTCAGAGGGTCCCTCCTCCTCTGCGCCTGGAGCCAGCTCTCGACTCCACACCTTCCCTCAGACCTGCGTACCCTTTGCTCTCTGCCGCTCCTTTGCACATCCCCTGGAGGTGGGGTGAGCACTGAGCCTCAGTTTCCCCCATTGTAAATGGGGTTGACAATCCATAGGACCCAGATGAGATGACAGAAGCAAGCCCGGGAGGGCATGGCAGCGGGCATGACAAGGCTGCATAAGGAGAGATTCCAGCTACAACCATGGGTGGGAGGTAGCCTCATAGGCCAGCTCGGCTTTCCCATACTCTGTGGATCTTGGCTGCATCTCCCTCCGCCTGCCCTCATGCCCTACTTTCCCTTCCTGGGAAACTCCCCAAGAAAGTCCCCAGCAGGATAAAGCCTCAAGCGGGATCTTTCCAGGCAGCTCTCCACCCCTACTGTAGTGCCCCCCACAGACCCCAGCATCCTGGCCCTTAGCCCCAGTCATACAGCAGGCAGACCATCATCACCACACTGGCTTTATTAGCCCTGAGAAGCACAGAGGACATCTCTCGGGCCCCATTTCCCCTCATCCCAAGTTTGTCAGGAGGCCCCCCCCCCCCCGGGACCTGGCTGATCGCTCACTTCCGCCTTCTGATCTTCAGTCCTTGGCCTGCCAGGGCTGGGTCCTTGCAGAGTACCCGAGGTCCTACAGCCAGCTTGAGTCTGAAGGGAATAGCAGACAGAGGCCCTACAGAGGGGCTGCTGCAGGCAGTCACTCGAAGAAGAACATTCCCGGTGTCCGGTAAAGACATGGGGGTAGCCCCAGGGGATAGCCGGAACCTCCCTGGACAGGGAAGCTCCCAGCCACCCAGGGTTCCTTGGAGTCAGCTGGCAGGGGCAGTGGGGCCCGGTGAGAGGCTGAAGGAGTCGAGGGTGTAGGGGTGGGGACTGCAGAGGCCAAGAGGTGTTCAATGCCTGGGTCAGTCCCCATACAGAAATTCAGCGTCTGCATCCGGCACTGGTAGCTGCTCGAGGTACCCTCAGGAGCCACGCCAGGTGTGGGGCCCTTGCCGAGACTCTCAGCTTCAGAGAAGGCAGCTGAAAAGCCGAATGCCGGGCACGGGGAGGGTGAGGTGGCTTCGGAGAGGTCCCTCGGGCCTGCAGACTTGGGCGAGCACATCTCTTTGGATCCCGTGGGCAGCTGAGGTCTGGCGTCACTGGTTGCCGGGCGCATGCTGGCTGGCAAAGACCCCATCAGACCCCCAAAACTTGAGCCCTTGGGGTTTGGCACCTCTGGTGGGAACGAGCACAGCCTGCCAGCTGCAGTGTTGGGTGCTCCTGGGTCTGGACTGGTGGCTCTGAGGGGCCTGTGGTCTGCCTTGCCAGGGCCCTTCGTGCCCTGGGCACCTGTGCGCTTGGTGAAGCGCCTGCGGCGGCGGAGGAAGCTGCCGTGCTGGAACATGTCGTGGCACTCGGGATCCAGGGTCCAGTAGCTGCCCTTGCCTGGCTTTCGGTCGTCACGGGGCACCTTGACGAAGCACTCGTTGAGAGACAGGTTATGGCGGATGCTGTTTTGCCAGCCCGGCCGGTTGTGTCGGTAGAAGGCGAAGCGGCTCATGATGTAGCGGTAGATGCCGCTGAGGGTGGCCCGCTGACCTGGCGAACTCTGGATAGCCATGGCAATCAGGGCTATGTAGCTGTAAGGGGGCTTGGTGGGCTCTGCAGAAGGAGCCAAGGGTCCGGGGGATGGTTCCTGCTGCATGCTGGCGGTGCTGCTGGACCACAGAGCCAGGCACGGCATTCGGGGCCGGTGATCTGCAAGGGCTGCCCAGGCTGTTAAAAGACCTACTGGCCCAGCCTCCCAGCCTAGAAAGGCAAAAAGAGGTGGGCCCACCAGGCTGCCCTTCCCTCCTCTCTCACCGCCCTTGTCAAGTCTAAGGAGGCGGGCAAGGGAGGCCAGCAGTCGGAAGCTGTGAGCAGCTGCAGGACGAAGGGGTGGGAGGGCAGGGACAGGCCCTGAAATTGAGTTAGACAGGGGCAGGTAGGCAGTCAGACAGACAGACAGACAGACACACGCACACATGCAGAAAGAGAGAGACAGTAAGCATACGGAGAGAGTGCCAGCCACAGAACAGGAAAAGAATGAAGTAGACAGACAGACAGACAGGCAGGCAGGCAGGCAGGCAGAACTTCAGGGACACAGGTATGGCCCAAGGTAGAGCAGGGGAGAACAAGGAGAGAACTAAGCAGAGTCCCTGTGAAGTGAGAAAAGCTACAGTGTTTTCTCACGTACCCTAGTTCTGGCTTTTCCTCCTCCCTCCTCTGCAGCTTCCTTCCCATACTCCGGAGCCCTCCTGGCCACACTATTCCGGGCCTGGCTAGTAGATTTTGGAGGACTTCAGGACCCTTGAGGACTTTGCGCAAGCCAGTTCCCCTGAGCCCTGTTGCCCTCTAGTGATTGGTGTGGGTAGGACAGCCATCTGGACAGAGCCTCAGCTTCCGATCTCTACAATGGAACTGCTAAGTTGTCCATGTCCACATGTGCTGAGGACACAACAGGATCCCTTAGGAGGCAGTGTCCTGGGAGAGCCTGGCGTGCGTGCATGCGCGTGCGTGCATGCGCGTGCGTGCATGCGCGCGTGTGTGTGTGTGTGTGTGTGTGTGTGTGTGTCTGGATGTTCTGTGAATTCATGCTCTCCTAACCTCAGCCTGGAGCTGGGGTACAGCAAAGGCCAGGACAAAGTCAGCCCTTTCGATGCACATCCCCAGTCATCCCGTTTGTGAAGGTCAGGAGTGGGGACCCCAGCTGGAAACAGGCTGTGAACTCCAAGAGTGTAAAGACCATATTGTTTTGCTCTGTCCCCCGCATCCAGCACAGGGCACTGAAACACAGTAGCAAGGCAAGAAACATTCCCGGAATGACTGGGAAAAACCCAGTGAACTTCGGTCCTTTGTCAAATCATATCACTTTCTCCATACAGATTGACTTATGGGCTGGGGGTGTGGTTCAGTGGTAGAGGATATGCTGAGCACAAGGCCCAGAGTTTGATTCCCAGCACAGAAAGAAAGGAAGAGAGAAAGAAAGAGAAAGGGAAGGAAGGGAGACTTACTGACATGTTATTAAAAGAGATTTATTTTAAGGAGATTTATTATGTTGGCATCCAAAATAAGGATCCTATAAATAAGTCCAGATGGGGGGGGGCTACCCAACTCACAAGCTGAGCAGAGACTGGCTTCCCCTGTGGCAGCACCGGGCACCGAGGCAGTCCTTCTCCCACATTCTGGGTGGAAGTCATGTTCAGTCTGAGTCACAAAGACCAGAGAGTTGTACAGAGTGGGAGAGGGGGGCTGGAACTAGGGCAAGCTGGGACTAGGAAGGATCAGTGAGAAGCCATTGGAAGGCGTAGGAGAGGAGGAGTGATTCACATGAGCCGCAAGCCTCTCCCGGTCTAGCGGGCCTGCATGGTCCTCACCAAAGCACAGGCTGATCTGGTATTCAGGCTCCGAGTGGCCATCTTATAGGTTGGCCTGCAGTTCTACTGGCACAGAAACTATGAAAGCAGGGCCAAGAACTTTGCATCCTACCCGGTGCCCATTTAGTGCTCATATTCCATGCCACATCCCTTGTGCCCTATGCCCACTTCTGTGTCCTTCTCCTACCTATTCCAGGCCTGTCTCCTCCATGCTCCAGGGTCTATGTCCCTTGCCTCCTGCTCCTATGATCACTTCGTGTCTTTGTGCCCAATCCTTTGCCCACTGCTACCCACCGATGCCTGTTTTGTGCCCAGGGTCCCCGATGCCCACTTTAAACATGTGTCCAAGTCCTGTGCGCTCCTTTCACCTCCCAGGACCAAAGCTGCTTCTGCCTACGCCCCCTACAGGCCTAAAAGGAATCTGTTACCAGACCTGATACCCATATTCTTTCTCATCCTTGGTGCCTCTGTGTGGAGTCTTGTTTCCAAGCGGAGCTCACTTTGAGCCCACCCTCCCGGGTCCACAATCGCAAGTGCGCACTTTCCACTGTCCAGGCCACTGTGCCCGTGTCCCCGGGACACACGGTGGGCCTTGCCCTGGAGGAAGCGCTGCGTGTCCAGCAGCTGATAGGTGCGTTTGCTCCCTGGTTGGGCCCACAACACAGACTTTGAGAGAACACGCCCTCGGGTGCCACCCACAGCAGCACGTCGCTGCACCACACAGGCCCGCATCAGCGGTTCCTGGAAGAGAATTTGCTCTATGCCAGCGGGTAGGTCCCAGGAACAAGCTGCAGCCTTCTGCCGAGCGCACGGTGGCTTTGAGCCCAGGGGTTGCGCTGTAGAAGGTCTGTAGAAACAGTGGTAGTCTGGAGACTCATTCTGTACAGTGCTCTTCTAGCGTGCCCTGGGTTCCATTCCCAGCGCTGCATACAGCCAGGGGCGACTAAGGAATGCTGGCAGCTGGAGTCTTTGTGCCCCTTCTTCCCTAGGGCAGAGCACACCAATTAACTATCCAATACCAAGTGGTAAGCCCTGAAGATGCATACATGTAAGTATACATTATACAGACTGAGCAGGGTGTACTTACGTGTTCTTATGCATTTAAGCACACACACACACACCACCACCATCAATATAAAAACAACAAAGAAAAAAAGAGGTCATGAATTAGAAGGAGAGCAAGAGGGGGTGCACGAGAAGGCCTGGAGGGAGGAAAGAGAAGGGGGAAATGACGTCATTATACTATCTAAAAAATTATTAAAAATGAGCTGGGAGTGGTGGTGCACACCTGTAATCCCAGCACTCAGGGAGGCAGAGGCAGGCAGATCTTTGTGAGTTCGAGGTCAGCCTGGTGTATAAAGCGAGTCCAGGACAGCCAAGGCTACACAGAGAAACCCTGTCTCAAACAAACAAACAAACAAACAAACAAACAAAAAACCAAAACTGGGTATGATGGCACATAGTGGTAATCCCAGTATATGGAAATTAGAAGCAGGAGGGTCAGAAGTTCAACATTCTCTGCTACACAGCAAATTCAGGCCAGGCTGGGCTGTACCAGACCTATCTCAAAAACAAAATAACAACAACCCCCCCAAACCCCCAAAACTAAACAATCCCCCCCCCAAAAAAAAACAAACTAGTTTAGTGCCAAGGACTTTGGGAGGCATGATCTGCGGTCTGGATTCCAGGAGCTTCTTCCAGTAGAACATTTTTTTTTTTTAAGATTTATTTTTACTTATGTGTCTGTGTGAGCGTGGGCCGAATCTGTGCAGGTGCCCACAGAGGCCAGTAGAGCCCATCGGATGCCCTAGAACTAAATTACAGGTGAGTGTGAGCCAGCCCCCATACATGGGTGCTGGAAGCCAAACTCCCATCCTCTGGAAGAGCCAAAAATGTTCTTCATGGCTGAGCCATCTCTGCAGCCACCCCTGCAGAGGTTTGAACTGTGGCAGTCATCGAAACAAGGTCAATAACTCAGTGGCTCCCTTCCATCAGGAACAGCAACACAGGTCTGCCCTGAAGGTTCAGGTGAGGGGCTGGGCTTCTGTACCAGGTCCTGAGAGCTGGGCCTCTTGTAAGCTCCTGCTGTGGGGCGGCTGTGACCTGCTACTAACAAGTGGTGGAGCTCAGGCAAAGTTGGGAGCACAGATTATCAGTGTGAGGTGTCTGATTACAAAACGGGACAATGCTGCCTCTGTCACATGAAGGGAGCTGTGAGAATACTTAGGTGGGCAACCAACCGGCACCAGTCAGGGCCTCCAACATTAGCCTTGTGGCTTTGGCCTGCTGGGACTAGGTGCTTTGGCTAAGAGGTAGAGGGTAGTTGTCCCCACACCTAGGTCCTCTCCAGTTCGGCAGTTGGTCAGATGCAGGGACCTTCAGAGTCCTTACCAGGGTTTCTGAACTCCTCAGAGATGGCTGGCCTCTAGGAGTATCTGGAGTTCTGCGCCTGGTACCCTGGGAGGGAGACCACTTCACCAGGGTGCCTCAGACCCTCGATCTAGGCCAGAGAGGAGACATGAGTAGGTGAAGAGATCCAGCCTTTGCTGTGGCCAGGCAAAGAGCTTGGGATGCATTCAGGAGGCTTCTGGCACCCTACAGGGCCAGTGCTTGTCCTTTTTCTATTTATTTGTTTGCAGCTGATCTGGGCATCTGAGAGGGCCAACTGTGAAGATGGGAGAGGAGAGCAAGGTCCAGAGGAAATGCCAGGGTAACTCCACCTGAGCAGGGAGAGAGAGAGAGAGAGAGAGAGAGAGAGAGAGAGAGAGAGAGAGCGAGCAATGGGTGATCTGAAGGCCAGCTAGGACAGACGGGACATAGACATTTCAGAATTTAAGACCCTTCCACGTTGGAGGAGAAGAAAGCGTTAGTGAGGGAGGGTATCTAGAGGCTGATAACGGTCACAGGTAGACTGGATGCTGAAGAGCCACTAGAGTCATAGAATGGGAGATGAGGACAGAGCAATGAGCCACAAGTGAAGGGGACAAATTAAGGAGCGGCATTCACAGGGATGACGGTTAAGAGACAGCAAGGAGGAGGCAAGCAGACATGGAAGAGGGACCAGTGGGGGATCTGGGTCTGGAAGGCAAGTGGGGCACTGTGGACCTCTGGGTACTGGGGAGGAGAGGGTGTGGAGCAAATAGGCTTGAGGCAGATGGAACTGAAGGCAGGGCAGGTTATGGGGACAGACAGAGAGCCAGGCTGATGGAGGGGAAGGAAGGATGAAACTAAGCACGGTGGGAGAGCTGGAACAGAGGGCACAAGAGACAGGGGGATGAGGTGATAGCTAGAGAGGCTGGGGCTGCTTTCAGTCTTGGCTGACATTTCACCGAGCTGGCTGGGCTGAGGGGTTGAAAGGACACACTGACCTGGTCTGTCCTGCAGGCTGGCTCGCTGGCTTTCCTTGGGGGCTCCTGGGAAAGGCTCTCCTTGTCATAGAGAGCTTGAAGCTCAGTAAGCATATCAAGCAAGGATGGGCCCCAAGAGAAGCCTCACATCAGAGCTAACCCCAGAGAGAGTGACCACGGCCCACTGTCCATTCTCACATAAGTCCAGTTTCCTGCTTTTCAAGTACTGTTTACCCATGTGGAGTTCAAGGGCAGGGAGGCGGGTACCTGGGTCCAGTTGGCTGTACTCTTGCATGTCCCAGAAGTCCATACTCTTGTTTCGGGCACAGAGGAGCCAGGTCTTCTGGTTGGAGGGCTCCTCCTTGTCAGAACCTTTCAGGTGCCTGCCCTGTGCACAGCCAGGCCTGAGGATGAGGGGGGGACTTGAAGACGAATGACCTGGCCTGGATGGGGCTGGAGCCACGAGAGCGATGAGGGACCTCTGGACACCTCGCATCCAGAGGTGTCCTCCCCTTTCTTTATTTCATCCCTTCCGAGATCCTGTATTCTTTGACTAGAGTTGGGAGTTAGATGGAGCCCAAGGTGGAACAATCCTTGCTCTCAAGGAGCCCCTATGCAGTAGCCTCCGGCTTATGGCTGGTGGAAATAAT